CGACGGACAGAGGTGACGAGAGTTCTGAAGGTGTTTGAGTCCCCAGGGTCAGCGGGCCTACAACCGCTCTCTTCCTGCATTTCTCAATCGTATGAGCCGATCAAGTCCTCTCTTTTGTTTCAGTTGAAGTTGGGTTTCTGCCGCCTGCACCCAAAAGCGTCCTGCCCAGTGCGTTCCTGCACCAGCTCACGCATCCTCGGGGAGTGCCTGAGCAGGTCGTGGGGAAGGGACTACGTCCAGCGCGGAGTGAGGGCTGCGCAGGGCCCTCAGGAGACAAGCTGTTGACCATGCTGAGAGAGCAGGGCAGGGGAGCCTCGTGTGTGAGCAGCGTCTTGGGCGGCAGTAGCTCCAGGCCACACTGTAGGGGAAAGCCCGTTCGCGGGAGGTTGCCCCGGAGGTCCTACAGAGCCTCCCTTCTCGACGAGTGGCTGAGCTCCTCTGAGTGGCCTGTGCACTGATGTGGACCGGGAGAGGCTGATGCAGCAAGGGGTGGCTCCAACCTCGGCCTCTCTGATGTCCCAGAACCACAGGGAATGATGCTGGCCCATGTGATGGGCCCCTTTTGTTTGCATGTGGGTGAGGGAGGATTGAGGGTGACAGACGTAGGGCTTGGGTCTCTGGGCAAGAAGTTGGCATGGAGGGGTAGGACGGGTGGAGTACCATCTATGTCTGACCACCCTGATTTTGCGCTCCCTTCCTTTGGGGTGCCTACGATGATTCCCCTACGGTATGGCACAGGGAGAGGTTGCTTAACTTTTTGAAGTTTCAGTTTCCTTATCTGTAAAATGGAGATAATACCTCCCTTGTGGTGGTTATTTTAGATGAAACAGAACAACACGTGTGTAAAGCATCCGAGGGTGCAGTTGTTTATTGAACACGGTGTTATCCCACGCCTACTCCTTTCTCTGCCCCACATCAGCTAGTTCTGTTTTTAGGCTGTCTTTGAAATCAGTTGCCTTCTGCTTAGGGTCGTGATCTGACTTGGATTACAAAGGCAAGTTCCACACTTACTTGGGCACTGTTCATTGGTCCAAAATGACAGCTTTTAAAGGGTAATAATTCCTTTCATTTGTGTAGTGCTTTACAGCCATAAAATACTTTTAATAACACTCCATCATTGATTCCTCCCAACAGCCTGATGAGGCAGGTGTAATTCAGTCCATTTTTAAGATTTGGAAGTAAGCTCAAAGAGGGTGAGTACAAGTATAAGAATCAGAGAAGCAAGAAGTCACAAGGGACCTTTCTCTAAGAGAGGGCAGGTCATAAGCAGCCACTTTGGCAGCCTGTGGAGGTCCTGAGGAGCCCGCAGGTTGGGTGAAGGAGGGCAACTGGAAGGACTTAGGGCCTGTTCCCTGCATTGGGGGGGGGTGCAAGGGGTAGTGGGGGAGAAAATATTGTCACACTTTCTACGAGGTAGGTATTTTTTATCTCCATTTTCCACATAAGGAGACTGAAGTTCACTCAGGCCAAAGTCATAAAATTAGTAAAACTTAGCCAGGTCTTTTGATTCCAAGTCTAGAGAGCTTTCCACTCAAAACCCCTTAAGTTTTTGAAACGTTTTGTGGTTTCTGATTTATAAGACACTTTTTAAAAAGAATTGTGAATAGACACAACTGTTAGTCCTGACTTGCACAGTTCTTTGCAAAGGCAGCCAGCATGATACGGTGGAAAAGAAAACACAAGATTTGGAAGCCTTCTGCAAATTGTAGCACCCTCTGAAATGTTTTTGCTGTTTCTCTTACATTATGTGCATATTTTTACTGTGAAAATTTAAAGGGACCCCTTTGGTCTTTCTGTGTCCTTATTCAGTGGCTATAAAGTGTCTGCCACACAGTAGGAGCTCAGTAAATGGTAACTTGCTGAATGAAGCCTCGGGCCTTGCTGTGCTCTCCTAAAGGGAGGGTTCTCTGAGCCTGGCTGCTGAACAGGTCCTTCCCTCCTTGACGGTAGTGGGAATATCTTTCATCTGTGTTTCTCACTTGACCCCTGGACAGCCCTGTTCTGTCTTCCCGTCTGTGGGTCACCTTGAGTACTCCTCTATAGACAACAGATAACATTGCAAACGGGAGGCTGGGCAGATGGGCAGTGGGAGGGGCCCCTGTACCCCATCTCCCTGGGTTGCTGGGGAAGAAATAGATGACTCATTGCTGGCACACAGGGACTGTGACACCAGCCCCATTGGCTGCAGTGGCATGGCGAGTGGAGGGCTTGCTTCTGCAGCCCCACTCCCTGGCACCAGCCTGAAGGCCTGGGCCTGCTTCCTGGGCATCAGAAGGTTATGACCAGGCCTTCCAACCCTGTGGGAGTAACTGGACTAGCTAAAGAAGAAGAGTGGTTCCCTTCTGCCCTGCTCTGCCTATACTCTTCCTGACAGGACCCCAGGAAGAGAAAGGCTGGGGCTGCAGGCTCTGGGGCACTGGGCAGCCTGCCCTAGGGTCTTATTATCCCACTCTGTTTGCAGCCTGTGAACGTCCAAGGCCAGTGTTTGGTCCTGCCACTGAACATAGAGTCAGAGAGAATGAGCAAGCAGGGGTCTTAGGAGAACTAGCCTCCCTGTTCCCAGAAATGTGCCAAGCTTGTCTACGTGGCCACAGCCCCACTTCCCTGCCCCAGAAGAGGCTGTTCTCCTGGTTAGGAAGCTCTGGGCAGACTGCATGTGGGATACATTTTGGCATCAAAGAGGCCTAGATTCAAATCCTTCTCTACTGCTTCCTGGCTATGAGCCCTTGAACTTCTCTGAACCAGTTTCCTTACATAGCAAAATGGGGTTAATAATATCTACTTCAGAGGGCTGATGTGAGGGGCCAAGGGTCTATCTGTGGGGAGAGGTTTTGGCGTAAAGGATTATGATGACATGGCTCCCAGAGGGCAGAATGTGGACAGGTGGACTCTTTTGTCAAAGACACTTGTGATCCTGGGCAAATACTTTTTGCAAAGTCTCTGTGTATATAAAAATTTTCATCACCCTAAATCAGAGTGCCATCACCATTCTGGCATCTAAGCTTGTGTGATCCTGTAAAAAAATGCCATACCAGCCAGTGGGAGCAAACTGCTCCCCAGTTCTCCATTCTGGAACTGGAGTGGTGCAGACTTTCAGCATGATCCCATATATGTGAGTCTAGGAGTCCTCGGGACATCTGGTCAACCCCACTTGCTTGGGCATGACGGGTGGGTACAGAACTGGAGAGTACCCAGAAGGGGCGAAATTGGAAGGGAAATTCTTAGAAGATTGTGAACAAGACACTCCAAATCCCAGAGCCCTGAGGCTCAGGCCCGGGCCTGGCTTGCTTGCCCAGGTTTAAGGGCAGTAATAACTGTGTAAAGCCCAGGCTAGGTCTCTGCGCGACTCAGTGCTGAATTGGAGCTTGGGGTTAAAGTGCAAGAAGGAGATTGAGATTGTTAGAGTGGGAGGGGGACTTCAAGATGACTAAGTCCAGATTCTTAGAGCACAGACTAAGGACAAAAGGAAAGAAGAGAGGCAGCTTTCTCTCACACCAGTTCATTTGTTAGGCTGTCATGAAAGGGAAGTTGTGTGGTGGTATCTGTGGCTGCAGCATTGTGTCTTGATGAGTTGTGTGTGTGTTCCAGGGTTGTGCATTGTGGGTTGTGTGGTTTGGGTTGTGTGGTTTGGGTTGTGTGGAGTGGAGCTGTGAGTGACCTGCAGCACACGGGCATTTTTCCAGTGTTGACTCGCCTTTGAGGTGTGGCCAGATGTTGGCTTTTGGGCCTGAGGAAGGCACAGGGTCTCCTTACTTGAGGGAATAAATGGGGAGGGACAGAGTGGAGACTTTCTTTCCTGCCTTTTGGGGATTCTCAGCTCCATTCCCTCATCCTGGGAGCTTGGCGGGCTGAGAGGGATCCTTTCCCAAGAGAGCAGTTCCTCGGGTAGGCCTGCCCTCTGGCCACATGACTTAGGGACCTGCTGTCCCGCCCCAGCTGCCCCACAGGCTGCTGGTCAATTCCTGATGACTCCATGGGAGCTAAACCTCGAGATAAGTGGACATGTCCATTTCCCCGGAGCAGTCCTCCAAAGCCCTGGTGTGTACTCTTCCCATACTCAGGATCCCCAGTTTTTGTATAAATTCATGGAGACTGGCCAAGCGAAAAACATCTGGGACTGTTTCTGATTGTCTGTTGTCCAAGGAAGGGACTGACGAGCAAGAGGGCCAGGCAGGCACTGCCTTACCAGGCTGTGTGGAGACGACGAGACCAGGGAAGAGTGTTCCTGGCCAGAGCCTTGCTGCCTGGATCCTCTGAAAGACAGACCCCTCGAGTTCCTCTCCCGCTCCCCCTAGATCCATCACATCCCCTTCATTAATGGAAAGAGCTCTAAACTGGTAGGTAGGAGATTTGGATTCCAGCATTGACTGTGTCACTGTTCCTGGATGACCTAGGTAAGTCACCGTCCTCAGTTTGTTCATCTGCAACATGGAAACAATAATCAAATCTGTTCAATTGGTTATTTTGAGATGCAGTGAGATAATGTAGGGGAAAGAGCTTTGGAAAATTTATGCAATGCTACACAAGTGTGAGGCGTTATTAAACAACTCTGAGGTCTTACCCATTGCTCACAGCAATCCCTGGCGTTTTAATATGCTTCCTCTTAGAAAGACTAAAGTCAGGGTCATCTTTAATGTGAAAATGAGTCACCTGGGACCCCTTTAAAATGCAGATTCTGATTCAGTAAGTCTGAGCCCAGATTCTGCATTTCCTTGCACCCAGGTGATACCAATACTGCTGGTCTTGGGGCCCACAGGTGAGTAGCAAGGACCAGAACTACCCCATCGCACGAAAGGAGAATGAAATCTTCCTATAGTTGGTTTAGAAGAAACAGCTTAGAAAATACAGCAGAAGTATGGGTTTATTAAAACAGCTTGCAGTCAAAGATGGCCTGTTGGTCACAAAGGATAAATTTTGGTCTTTGGAAAAGCAGAGAGCAAGAGGCAGGGAGAGGGGAGGGAGAGAGAGAGATCGAGAGACACGAGGAGACTTGGGGAGCCAAGAAGCCCTGGACGGATCACTTCCTGGACTTCTCTGCAGAGCAGCCACCACTGGTCTTACTAAGAGAGTCTGTGCTGCCCATTCGTGAACCCCCACTGTTGAGGATTTTGTCAATTTCTCCTGGGATGTTTTGCTTCTCCTCATTCTCAGTCTCCCGATGGTAGAAGTAGTTAAAGTTGGAGACAATGACAGGCACAGGGAGGGCAATGGTGAGGACCCCTGCAATGGCGCACAGAGTGCCCACAATCTTCCCCCCTGGGGTGGTTGGGCACATGTCCCCATAGCCCACAGTTGTCATGGTGACCACTGCCCACCAGAAGCCATCAGGAATGCTAGAGAAATGGGACTCTGGCTCATCTACCTCAGCAAAGTAGACTGCACTGGAGAAGAGGATGACTCCAATGAAGAGGAAGAAGATGAGCAGCCCCAACTCCCGCATGGAAGCTTTCAGTGTCTGCCCCAGGATCTGTAGCCCCTTGGAGTGGCGGGAGAGCTTGAAGATGCGGAAGACCCGCACCAGCCGGATAATCCTCAGGATGGCCAGGGACATGTTCTGCTGGGCGCTCGGCTCTGTCTCCTGGACAAGCTCTGTGATGAGGGTTGCAAAGTAGGGGATGATGGAGATGATATCAATAATGTTCATGATGTTCCTGAAGAAGTCAGTCTTGCTGGGGCAGACCACAAACCGGAGTACCAGTTCAAAGGTGAACCATATGATGCAGGTGGACTCCACCATGAAGAAAGGGTCAGTGAACATGGTGTGAGAGAGGAATGTCTTGGTCATATTGAGACTGGGGTCTCTTACCACCTTCAGCTCCCTATCTTCCCGGAACTCAGGTAGTGTCTCCAGGCAGAAAATGGTGATGGAGATGACCACAACCAACACAGAGACCACGGCCACGCCACGGGCAGCACTGGAGCTCTCAGGGTACTCGAAGAGGAGCCAGAACTGCCGGTGGAAGTCATTGGTGGGGAGCAATGTTTCAGGGTCTTTGATGAAGCCTTCATCCTCCCGGAATTGGTCCATGGCCTCGCTACCCAGCTCATAGAAGGAGATCTCATCAGCAAAGACGTCGATAGGGACATTGGCCGGGCGCCTGATTTTCCCACCAGATTGGTAATAATACAGGATTCCATCAAAACTGGGCCGGTTCCTGTCAAAGAAATACTCATTTCTCATGGAGTCAAAGAACTGCATCCTTTTCTCCCGGTCTCCCAGGAGGGTCTCTGGGAACTGATTGAGGGTTCTGAGCTGGGTCTCGAACCTCAGCCCAGCAATGTTGATGATCACCCGCTGGTTTCCTTCATTTAAGACCACTGGCTCAGGCCCTGGGGTATCGACATAGTCTCCAGGGAGCTTGGAGAAGGCTGTCTCGTGGTTGGTGCTGTCGTTGATGAGGATCCTCCAGTTGAAGGGGCTGCTTCCAGACCGGCCTTTTGGGCTGGTTGGGTCAAAATCTGTGGCATAGTCTGGCTCTTCCTGGATTTCGTCTGAATTATCAAAATTTACCAGAGCAACCTCCATTTCTTTCCAGCCACATGCATCCATCCTAAGGGAGTCAGGGAAGCAGCATGAAGACGCTTAGTTTTCCCTGCCTGCTGCCAGCTGTAGAGAGGAAGAAGGTCATCATACAGGAGCTAGGATACCACTGACTCTTGATCATTGAGGTAAGGTATACCAGTGGAATAAAAAATAATTTATTTTTAGCTTGGGAAGGAACCTCACGGTTGTTTTGACAACATTCATCCATTGAAATCAATTTGTACCCCAAGTCTGCACACACTAATAACTAGAAGCAATTGCAAAGAAGGAGCCTGGCTGAGAGGAGAAAACTTTCTCCAGCCAAAAAGGGTCTCCATACATGACGGCAGAGAGAGGCCATAATGAAAGAGGAAGTAAATGTTTCTTAATAAAATGTATAATTTTGTGTTTGGATGAAGTCCTCTAGTTTACCTAACACTTTCCCATGCCCAGTCTCATCCTTAACTCCCTTCTTTCTCTCACCCTTGACAGCCAGTCCCTCACATATCCTTTTGGTTATATTTTGAAAATGTGTCTAGAGTTCAACCATTTCTCATCACCTCCACCACTACCTCTTGGACCAAGTGGTGGGGCGGGGGTGGATACATGAACCCAGTTGATTCTGTTGGGAAGGAAGCACAAGAAGACGGAGGCTCTGTGGGCAGCCATCAGTGTCTCCTCCAGCAGTAACTGTCCGTGCCTTAGCCCCTTCTCTGTAGGTAACACTTAGGGTTGTTTTGTGCGTACATTAAACGAGGTAGCGTATGTAAAATGCCTGGTGGAAAGATCACTAAATTGTAGCTACTGTTTTTGCCACCTTCTCCACCTAACAGGAACTTTAGAAGCCAACAGCCATTGGTATTTTTTTGCCCTAAGGTCAAGATGTTTATGAGAAATGATTTCATTTTTAAAAATCATTTTAGGCAAGGGAGAAGTAAGTAAGTAATTGCGCGCGCGTGTGTGTGTGTGTTTGTGTATGCGTGTATTGAGGGTGCGGTTAAGGAGAGCATGCCCAATGGGCTTGGATAGCCACGGAGAGTAAGATTCCTTCCTCAGGTCCACTCAAGCTTCCATTTCAGCTTACTAACACTGAAGCCAGGCAGCCTGAGGGTGAGGGCGGGAGAGGTAAAGTCTGTAGCGGGCACAGACTTGGAGTTGTTTCATTTACAGATGACAAGGACATCCTGCTGTGTACAGTGTTGTAGTCTTTTCAAAGTGATTCTACATTTGCTTATCTCACTAAATGACAATAATCGTGTGAGGTTGGAAAATGTTATTTCCATTTTACAGATGGGAAAACTGAGTCACAGGGACCAAGTGGTACAGAGCCCTAACCTGAACCTGCCTTCCTGCCGAGGGCCTTTCCTACTAGACCATGGGACCCCTGTGTGGAAGCTGAGGGCTTTGGGGAGCTGCAGGCCAGGGCCACAGAAGTGTGGGAGCACAGAGATCCTTCAGTCCCACACCTCCTTTCTCAGTTCAGGTGCATGGTGTGGGGTGAAGAGCTCAGGTTTGGGTGGCCAGGGCTGGTTGAGCACCTGCCCTACCTCTTAGGAATGAGTGGCCTTTGCGAGCTGCCTAATTTCACTGAACTGCATCTTCCTGAGCTGTGGAATTGGGGAGGATATACCCACCACAGAGCGTGTCAGGCGCCGGCCTGCCTTATGATGCTTGGTGAGCAGTGGGCTGGTTGGAAGGCAGGATGGAGCAGTGGTTAAGAACTCTGAGATGAGAGCCGGTTGACGTGAGCTGGAATCCTGGCTCTGCACACAGTAGGCCCTGGAGAAATGTTAGCTGTTCCTTCGCAGTGACCCATGTGATGGTTTAGGGGACTTGTCGCGGGATACTCAGCTGCCTCGCAGATGTAGGGCCAGGACTCCAGCTCTGTGCCCACCTTGTGACTTCAGAGCAGCACTTTCTCCTTTGGGGTCATGGCCCTGGGGGTTGTTCCCTGCTTATCTCCTTCTTGGTGTGAACCCCATCCCTCTTTCTCCAGGCTGAGAGGAAGGGGTGCCATCCGGGGGCTCTGGTGCAGGGGCTTGGACTCCACTTCCAAGTGGCTAGAGTGGGCCCTGTTAGGAGCCTTCTCTGGAGGCCAGGGGCAGAAGGCAAGCAGGGATTAGGGAGAGCTTCCTTCGCCAAATAATTAAGTTCCTTTCCTGGGAGCCAGGTGATTTCCTTCTCCCCTCCTCCTGATCTCTTTGTTGCTTCCACCTCCAGCTCAAAGTGACAGACAGGAGTGTGGTTGGAGAGGGTCAGGTGGTGTAGGAGGTGGGGGGACAGTGTCAAGGTGAAACAGTGTATTCTGTGGTCTACAGAAGCGTGCTGTATGATTTCTCCACATGCCACTTTTAGATTAGTAAATGTTGATCATTACAGACATAGGGAAAAGAGAACTGGTCTTGGGGACAAGAGACCCGGCTTGAGGTTCTGCTCTACCACTTAGGAGTTGTATATTTTTGGAGTTGTATATAGCAAATCACTGGATTTTATGAGCCTCGGTTTTCTGATCTGTAAAATGGGAAAAATAAAGGTAATTCTCACCTCAAAGATTATACTGAGGACTAAAGAAGGAGATAACAGTGAGAGCACTTTGTAAATTGTAAATTATTACAAAAATGTAAAGAATTACCCTCCCTGCTCTCCTCCTCGCTGCTCCACGCACAAATGCCATGTAACATATGCGTGGGCAGGAAGCACGTTTTGTGTGGCCTCCACTTCCCCAGGCAGAAGTCTCGGCTCACCGTCCTGATCTGCTCTGCCTGGTCCTGCCACCGTTCCTCCCTGCCTGTTCCGCTCATGCCTGGCATACACTTTCCCCTCCCCTCTCTCTCCTCTTCCTCTGCCCATCTGGGGAGTGCTGAGGTCCCACCTTGTCTGAGGAGCCTGCTCAGCCAGTCCAGCTTGGAGAGCCCTCTGCCTCCCCTGAGCTCCTGGCCTCCCTGCCCAGATCACTCACGTTGGTGCTCAATTTGGAGCGCCACCTTACGCAAGGTCAGCCTTGGCTTTTCAGCTCTCTTGTAAGCTTTCAGAGTGCAGGACAGTGTCTTACAGTTTTTCCTTCTTCCCTGCATGGCCTTGGAGGACAGAATTCACCTCTGTTGATCCCCACTTGCATCACCTAGTGCCCAGCTCAAAGTGCAGAGAGGAGGGCGGCTGATGAGCGTCGGGGCATAGGAGGTGGTGTGGCAGTGCCAAGTTCAAGCAGTGTTTTCCGTGGACATGCAGTGATATTTGTTAAGTAGGCAAGTGAATGAATGAAAGAAGAAATGCAAGCTCATGAGGGCAGGGACCATGTCTGTTTTGTGCACCGTTATGATTCTAACACCTGGCCCAGGGCTTAGCCCACCCAAGTGCTCAATTAACTTCTGGTGAATGAATGAATGAGTGATGAATGAATGAAGTGTGGCAGATAGCATACTGGGTTCAAAGCCAGGACACCCGCAATGCCTCCTCTACTGCTTTATGATTACTGACTACTTGCATTTCCTTATCAAGACTCCATTTTTTCCATCTGTAATAAGAAAATATGCTAAGTCAAAGAAGCCAGATAAAAAAGGGTAGATATAGCATAATTCTATTTATACAAAATTCTAGAAACTGCAAACTAGCCTAGAGTGACAGAAAGCAGACCAGCTGTGGCCTAGGGCTGGTGGTGGGGAGGGAGAAGGCGGGATTCCCAGGGGACCAGGGGATCTCTTTTAGGGGTGGTGATGATGTTTATCTCGATTGTGGTGATGGTGTCACATGTGTGTACATATGTCCAAACTCATCAAGTTGCACAGTTTAAGTCTAGCGTTCATCACTGTGTCTCAGTATATATACGTATTAAAAAAAGGCAAATAAGCAAACAAACCAGGAGATAAAAGTGTACGGTCTGCTGATGATTCTTCAAGGTTTTCTTAAGGACCAAAGGGGATGTGGGTGCTTCGCAAACTGCATGGGTCATGGGGAAGGAGGGGGTTATGCTCGGGTAGCACTCACCATGCTGCCAGCACCATGCCCACTCATGCTGCAAGAGTGAATGCACCCAGACCCAGGGCTGAGCGTGGAGTGGTAGGGCTGAGAGCAGCTGTGGGAAGGCCACTCTCCCTCAGAAGTGTGCACAGCGTCAAGCAGCCCCTGGCCCTGGCAAGCCGGCTCGCCTCAGCTTAGTGCTTGGCGTTCTGTCTTTTTGGTGGCAGGAGAGAAGCCACTGCCTGCACTGGGAATTATGCCCTCCTCCAGAGAGGTTTCACTCTACTTTAAATAGGCCTTTAAATGACCATTTCACGGGACCCAAGATGGGAGCTGGTTCTGCTCCTGGGCCGCCCTCCTTGCCCCACACTGGCCCCTGGGAGGAGATGGATGCTCTGGGTCAGGGGAGCACCCCAGTGAGGGTGGAGCTGCAGGGCTCAGGTGTTTAGGGGCCAAGTACCTGCAGTCCTGGAGCCTGTTCTGCTTGCAGACTGTGGGGTTCTTTTTTTTTTTTTCATTATTTTTAAGTATCTAGATCATTTAATTTTTTTTTCACACTTGTCCTCTTTTTTTTTTTTTTTTTTTGTGAGGAAGATCAGCCCTGAGCTAACATCCATGCCAGTCCTCCTCTTTTTGCTAAGGAAGACTGGCCCTGAGCTAACATCCGTGCCCATCTTCCTCCACTTTATGTGAGATGCCACCACAGCATGGCTCTACAAGCAGTGTGTCGGTGCGCACCCACGATCCGAACCGGCGAACCCCGGGCTGCCGCAGCGGAACGCGCACTTAACCGCTTGTGCCACCGGGCCGGCCCTTCGGAATGTGGGGTTCTTGATGGCTTTCCCTGAGTCTTACATCTTTTCATCTGCCCAGCATTCCAAGGCCTGGATAGAATTACCAGTACTCATGGCTGAACTCTCACCCAGAGCTGAAGTGACCATTGTATTCAAGAGTCTTCTGCAACATCTGATTCTATGCATATTCCCTCTGCTTGCCTGGCACAGTGAGAGAGTGCATCGGCTTAAAACGACCTCTCTTCTCCTCTGAACATACTTGTGTTCTCCTCCTTCCAGGCCGTTATTTGTGCAGGTCCTGCCACCTGCCTTACTTCTAACTTCCCCTGATGGGAAGCTTTCCCAGAGGATGTTGGTGCCCTCCTGAGAACCCCCTAGACAAAGTTTTGGCCCAACATCATTGGATCCGTGTCTTATCTCCCCAGAGCGTTGTCATCTTTGGGTCATTCAGCATCTTTGTACATGGGCACAGGCGGTCCACTCACTAACCCCAGCGTGTCGTACACCTCAGCATCCTCTGACCTTGGCTTGCTCTCCTTCCCCTAGATCCAGGCAGGCTTGGGTTGAATCTCAACTCTGCACTCACTAGGTGTGTGTCCTTGGGCAAATCACCATCTCTGTGAACTCTGCTTTCTTCCTCTCTAAATGGG